CACAGGTCCAGTGGGTGTAGCGGACCCGCTCCTTTGTAGTTCGTCATCGGATGCGGTTGCGGATGCCCGTCCGCGGGCGCGGGGCGTGGCAAAAGGCGAAGGTGGCGATTGGCCCACGCAAAAGAAATCCTCGACGCTCGATGCCGAGAAAGAACGGGGGATGTTGTCGGAAAGTCCCGTCGCTCCATCAGAGCCTGATCCAGTAAAGAAGCAGAAGCTGCGGGAGAAACCCGTCAGCGTCCACGTTCTTCACGCAAGGAGAGGAACATACCGGTTCAGAAGGATGTTATAGTTGCTCAAATGGTGAACTGGTGAATCACACTTTTCATCTGCGTTCTCTGCCGCCAGGCGCGTGACCACCATGGGTTCTGCGGGGCTCGAACTCGGAGTTGGGCTGGAAGAGCGGGACGAAGAACTGCTGGTGATGGAAGGCGTACTCTCCTCGCTTCCGTCCGTGGCCCAGCTTGGTGCCTGATGTTGCTGTCGCGGTGACGAGTGCGGTGGGAAGGAGTGGCAGCGCGCTGGCGACTGAGGCTGAGGCCGGCTCAACGGAGGTGTGGTGGACAACTGAGCGAAAGGGATTTCTGGGCTGCCGAATGGGGATGTCGGAGGGGTCCGCTTCACGGCGGGTGCTTCCGAAAGCTCGATAGCGCCACCACGGGTGTGATTTCGCGGTCCGGAGCCCGAGCGGCCGCGGTGGATAGATGGCGTGCGTGATATCGCATCATCCGAGTCCGAATCACGCTCGAGGAAGAAAAACGCGCGATCAGCGGCATCGCGTGGTGAACCACAAGGGGCGCGCGTGGCTGATGAATGCGGCCATGGCACCGAGTTTGGTAGCGCAGAGGGATAGGTGTTTGTCCGCGTGTGTGAAGGAGTTGACGGCGCTGGAGGGGCACGCCAGGGCGAACGTAACGACGCTGCAAAATCATATCGTGCGGCAAGGGACCCTTCCGACTTGAAGCTCGGCGTCGCCTCCCGTGATGGAGGAGTGGGTGTCCTAGACGGCGATCCCCATCGACGACGCGAGTGCTGAGCGAGGAGACCACCGATTGTGTCGGATGGGCGACCAAGCTTGACGACCTCCTCGAGCTTGTGTCGCAGAGCCGCGATGTCTTCAGCGTGGGAAGCCGCTGGCGGCTTCTCCTCTGTAACCACCATCGAGGGCTTGGCTGGCTTCTCGCGCACTATGCGCACCTGGTAATTTCTGCCTTTGTTATTATCCCAGATGTCACGACCCGCAACCGAGTATCGAACAGCAAGGAAGAGGGTCTTCTCCTCAGCGCGCGAGAGGACGTCTGCAAGTTTGATCGAGAACGTAAAGCGGTCAACCATCCCGTCATGAAGAGACTCCTTGTAGCGAGCAGTGACTTCCGAGGTTGTTTGCCATTTGTCAAGAGTGAAGCGTACGGCAACCCATTTTTCGAACGCGATATTGCGCACACGAACAACGCCTTCAATCGTGGTCCCGACCATATCTACGCTCTCGACGACAACTTCACGTGTATCGCCAATCAAGAGCTGTGTCGTCGGTACGTCGATACGGTGCATAACGAGCGCACGCTCGGTGAGATCGTCGTCGTGGCCATAGATAAAAGGGGGAAACTCTGGGTCCGTCCCACTCGTGTCAGTTGGACTCCCGTCGCGCGAGACAGCAATGGGCTTCTGCTCTGCAAGGAAGTGCTTCACCTGCTCAAGTTGAGCATTAAAGCGGACCCCCTTGTGAGCTGGCGTTGCTGGCGCACTCTTCGATGAGCTCAAGACGGCAGGATCGGTGATAACGGTCAACGAGCCCCGTGCAGGTGTGCGCTTGACTTTGAGTGACGACTTGAGTGGCTCACCCGACTTTTTCCTGAGTAAAGGTGGGTTAGGTTCGCATCTCGCAGCCGCCGCAGCGGCAAGGGAGTGAACATGCGATTCGGATAAATTCCGCGATAAGGGGACACTTGTATGCTGCCGCACGGGGGTATCGCTTCCCGAATCTGCCTTTAGGGGGGTAGGAGTTGACTGCTCCGGGGGGCGAATGGCAGGAAAACGGAAGCCTCGAACACGCCGGGGAAGAGCGGGTTGTGTGGTGGATGTGAGAGATGACGAAGAAACGGTATGGCTGGCTTTTGCCTTCATGGTGTCAAATGGGCTCGGCGGCTGGACATGAACTTCAGTGGGGTTCGAAGGAGCTGGAGTCGTGGGTGGGCTGGCACGAGTAAAAATGACGCCAGAAGGAGGCGAATCGCCATGAGGCGCGACAAGGGGCGAGGCGCGACGAGAATTAGGAACAGAGGCAGGTCGTCGAGGGATCAAAGGGAGAGGAGCTGCTGAGTTGTTGCGCGAGTAAGAGGTGTCTCGGGATAATGAGGATCCGTGGGTGGTCAACACGGTGGAGGACATGGTGAAAGGATAAGAGATTTGGAACGCAGAACTAGGGGGTGTGAAGAAGGGGGCTTGTATATGAATGGTGATTGACCCTAGAGATGGTGGGAAAAGAAGATAGTGAATTTGAAAGTGCGGCAAAAGAAGCGTAATGTGGTGCGTACCTTCTCCTGCTCAGTTGGGTGGTCGGGGTGCAAATAGAAATAGAAGGTTGCTTGCGTATGTACCTAGTTGAGGAGAGATTGGGACCAAAATGACCGACGCTCACGATCGGATGCGGTAACAGACACAAGAGGTGGAGCGTGAAACTTTGAAACCTTGATGGGCGTCGACAAGCCTGATAAGCACGTCTTACGAAAGCCAAGTGGCTGACCACGAGTGAGCTGGCACGCAGATGTAGGAAAAAAGAGGTATGGGGGAGAAACGTGGTTGGGAGCGAGTCCTTGATATAGACCTGATGAAAAAGGTTGGATGACAGAGTTGACACATGCAGCTGTGGTAATGACAAACCCAAAGGCCGAAGCGCAAACAAATCAAGTGTCCGAGTTACGCTGGGCCCACTTCCGTAGATGATAAATACTAAAAAACAAAGGGGGGAGAAGGAGAAAGGTATAATTATGATGGTCGAGAATGAGATAGACTCACAGTTGAACCGATCCGACGACTAAGAAAGAAAAGAAAAGACAAGGAATAATCCGAAATGGCGTCGCTGCCGTGGGTGGGTCTTGAAACTGGGCACAGCGGTGCTCAGAGGTCGTCAACGTCGCGGTGAACAGCGAGCGCAGGCGGAAACCGAAGAGGGAAAAAAGAAAAAAAGAAAATCAGGCCAGGAGAGACAATGACTAAGCAGAGGCACCACGGCATTCTAGACCGGTCGGCAAGACAGGGCTATCGTTGACGCGCACACGTGTGATGGCACGTTTATCTCCAGCCCCACGCCCCCTCCCAAGGCCCCTCATCCAACAGCGCTGACACGATATGGATCGTACCACTGGGTTTCAGAGCTCGACTCGCCGTTCATTCACCTGCTCGCTTCTACCTCGTACCCTCCTACTGTCCTCTATTCGTAACTCTTTGCAATGCCAGGTCTCTCTACTGAAACACGACTGTCTATCTCCGCCGTGTCTGCACTATCTGAATGTCTGGAATGTCTCATTGCCACCGTTTTGACTTTTTTCACCGAAATCAGCCTCTTATCTTCTGTAACTGACCCACCCGAGTCAAGGCTCCATTCCAAAGCAGCATGACAATTCTCGCCGAACAGAGTCAGCTAATTAGGAACTGACCGACCTCTATTATTCTTTCCCAACTTTGCGCATTACCAGAATTGTATCAATCTGGCCTCACATTTACCAAGGCCTACATGAATGCCTCGGCCCTACCAAACCCGATCTGTCCCGATGTCCTTATCTCTCACCCGAGCTTCGAGACTGTTTTATCTAACATCTAGCTCTTTTCCGCAAAGTTCGTTGTTTGACGCACTGCGCTGCACCTCGGTGCTTTAGGTGGGTCTGTTGTATCACTTGTGGGTCAATACACAAAGTGGACACCCGTACAGTATGTATGCCCTCTGTTTCCTAAATCAAATATTCGCGGCGCGGCGCTGATGGTGAGCCTTGATTACTTGAGTGTTCGTAACCGATGCGTGCGCCTCGTTCAGACGCTCCACACGCCCCGCCTAACTGCAGGATTCCTAGCGAGATATATCGTCACCTGCTCAGGACTAAGCCCGAAACGGTGAATGCGCAAAGCAATGATTTGTGCCTCATCAGTTAAAGCGAGCCTAGAGCTAGTACTCTCGCAACAGACTTCTCTACCACTATATCCGTACATTCACAAGCCCAGCACCCCGCCCTTCCATTGTTGCATATTACGCCGCCACTCGCCACCGCGTCGCTTCAGCCCCGAGTCTTTCCTGCTCTTCGCATGACGAACGTCATTTTTTCGACCTGTCTGAATGTTGAGGGTAAATAGGAGTTCCAGTGCCTAGTCTCCGGAGTTTTTAACCGAGAATCTAGACTTCCCAACTCAAATGTGCCACAGCAACCCATGACCGAATTTCATGCCTACATGACTACGGTTGGTCGCACAGCATTTATGGCCCTACTCAAGGTGCGGGCGATGACATGATGAAGGCACCCTTCGATGCTTCTCTAGACAGTCTCGAATGCGGATCCTTCGTCATTGCATTGCGGTAGAGAACACTTGGCTACGAGAAAATCACCTGCAAAGCGGAATGCCTGCCTGGCTTAGAACTTGCCCTAGTCAGCTGCTTCCATTTCATTGCTAGCCCGTCTCGACTTCTTTCCGGACTTCGATGTACGTATCGCAGCTCTCGAACATTCTGGGTGGCAGATCTGAAACGAATAGACACACCCTCCTGCCCAACGTCCTCCGAGAAGCTTCAGGTTGGCGAAGAACAGAATGGCCTAGAACATAACTCGCCGTGACAACACACAATTCCCGTATCCTCCTGTAGGACCGTGATAGTGCACATTCAAGTTACCGTGCAGTTTTACTTATCACATGTTCTCTCGTCCAAAGGACGCGCACTTTGGCATTGTCTAGAGGCGTTAGTGGAGAGTTGATGACTAACGATAGTGATGATAATGTTCAGCTCCATCATCATCGGTTCGATGGCGTAGTTGGTTATCGCATCTGTCTAACACACAGAAGGTCCCCGGTTCGAGCCCGGGTCGAACCATTTTTTCTTTCCACCACCACCTATGGTGTTATACATTCTCCAGTCTTCGATCCCTTTTATTTTTTCGCATATAAATTCGATTGATTTCATGAAGGGTCTCGCTCGAGAGGTGCTTTATCATAACTGTCCGTCCTCCTGGCCTCGGCCCAATTATAATTAGAATCCCAGTGCAGGATTTTTCAATCGACGCTGACCACCGCATCGATCGCGCGTTCTCCGCCGTCGACTCCGCCAGACACGACCTGAGCCACCTTGTAGATCTGGCCTGGCGACTCAAAAAACACTAAGGGTGCGCACTGTAGATGATCGAGGCCTTGTCACGGTTGTCTCACTTAGATTTGTTTTTCTTTGTCCCTGCTGCGCCGCGGGGCTCTTGCTCTAGGTAACCTGCTTTCAAATAGGGTCTAACAGAGAGGCACCTGGACCTGGAGTCCCCGCGAGTCCCCGAGCTACCTCCCCGACCCCGACTCTAGAACCCGCTCGGTACCGTTGGGCGGAATCGATGAGTTCGGTAGCACTTGGGGACGCCGATCGAACCGTGCTTACATTACAATAGATGCGTTGAAGGGGGTTGACTGGCCCATTGGCTAGATGTGGCGCGTTATGTCTGTTGAAGACAAACGTAGGGTGCAAGCAGGACACGCGTTTTGAGTTTTAGCGGTGCACATCGCGTCCCCGAGGCCTGTATATATTTAATCAGGTAAATTGGAGAGATAATAATAGCCTCCCAATCTACGAAAGTAGATGAAGTTGAGATTTGCTGATATCTACGTCCTCCAACCCCAGATCTAAGCTGACACATCCTCCGAGCTCGTCTGTCAGGGCGAAAATGGAGCGGGTCCGGTGACGAGGGATAGGAGCTCGTCCCGAATACCTGGCAATGGTAAGAGCATAACAAAAACAAACAGACTTGGGTCCGAGTCCGAGTCGGCCAGCACGGTCAGCCGGGCCGGTATAGAGGGGTAACGTGTCCACGGTGTGCCAGCAGCTGAGAGGATGTCATCTGTGCGGCGCTGTGACATGTACTGTACTGCAATACTGTACCTAAGTTTTGTTCTTGGATCGAATTATTGCCAAATCAAGACCCGGGGACGTCTACCCCACATTGCTAGGGCTCGGGGTTCGACCGCAGCCTGATTTGACTCCCCGAACGGAACATCGGACGCCACCACTTATTATCATGATGCAGCTTAAGCGGAACGGTGGGCGGAAATGGGCGGCTCAGAGCATTCAACGGAGGAGGACCGTTGGAAAGAGGTATATTGCCCCATGGTAACTATGGAGCGAAAACAGACAAACGACACGGAGTATGCGGGCAGGCACCGCGTAAAGTGGACGAGAGTGCGGAGAAGTGGGGAAAAAGGTATAGCGGTGCCAGCGAAAACAAAACAAAGGTTTCGACTAATGCTACAAAAACAACAACACACCACAAAAGGAAAAACCAGTTATTCGTGACACTGACACATGGGCAGAGATAGATAGGGCAAGTGGGGTGCATGCAGTGGGGGGGGGGGAGGGGGGGTTGGAAAGGCAAAACGTTGAACAGTAATTCTTATCGTCACATCACAGAAGTCTTACAACACGTTCATGAATTCGTCAAGACCCGCCTGGGTCGAAACCACGTCGTATCCCGTCGTCGCGAGAACCTCTGGAAATGCCGCGGTCAGGGTACTGTCGAACATCGTCGACCCATTCGCGGATTGAGGATACCCAGCGCCCCAGAGCGCGGCGGGAGTTTCGTCAAGTGCCGATGGCGTATGCTGGAGGCAAAGGGTATCGGAAGGGGCGTCGGACCGAAGCATCCGCTTGCATCAAAGTCATTCGATTTGGGGGGAGTCGCGATCGCACCCACGACAGCGGGCGTATACGACTCGGTGGGGGCACCGCACGCCCAGTCGGTGTAAGGAACCGTCATGTCCAGAGAAGCATGGTATAAGTCGATATCAGCAAACGAGAACTGCTGATGAACGTTAGAACATGGGTCAGTGTAAACATAATCTCCCGATGAAGCACCGAGTGGTGCCGGGGAATTCTAAACAAACAGAATTAGGAAGAGATGAAGCACCGAGGATGGAGAGCTTACTTGGTTGTCGTTAACGGCCAAAGCACGCTCCAAGGATTCGTCCGGACCCTCGGGGAGAGGCAACATCTGCATTCCACAAGGGAGGCTATGTACCTCCGGCGATGTGGGCAGATCTGGGGTGTAAAGGGGTGAGTCGTCGATCTCGCTTCCCGAGAACATGTCAAAGTCAACGGAAGCGGATTCCGGGCTCGATATGCAAGAGACAGGCGCTGGCGTCTCGGGCTTGATGGGCGGTGTGACTGTCTTCCACGTAGCAACCGGCTGTGGCATCGAGGAAGAACGGCGCCTGCCGGACACGCTGGAAGCGGGGGACGACGCGGGCTGAACACCCGCAGAACCCAAACTGGCGTCGCCTTCGTGACCCGTGTCGCGCGTGGGTGAAGTGGCACTGCGCTCGCTACGCATCATGAGTGAGGCGACCCGCGCGCTACGGTCGTTGCGCCGGGCCGTGCCGGAACGGCACGCCGGAGCACACGGGGGGTGGACGGCGCATGGGCTTGAAGCGATAGTCGGGGTTCTGGCGTGCGTGTGTGACCTTCTCCTGCTCAGCGAGGACCTTGTACTGCTCCCGCTCCGCGGCAGACAGGCGGCGCCACTCCTCTCCAGCGCGCTTCGACAGCGTCTTGTCGCATCGACTGGATCTGTCAGAGGGATCGCTCGGATCGCGCGCGTGCTTGCGGGAGTATTCGCAGCGGAATATGATGAATGCATTCCGCGGGCGGGGAACCCAGTCGGGATCTCGCAAGCGATTACGGATAGCGCGGCGATCCGAGGAGGAGAGTGAGGAGGTAGAAGGTAGATCCGCATGAGAGCCGTCCATGTGGTCAAAGGAGGAGTCAGGCGAAGAGGGAGGGTAATCTGAGGACTGGGAATAGGTGGAATAGGAATCGCTAGATGATGTGCGACTGAGAGCTGGAGGCAATACTCGAAAATCGTCAGAGACTTTGGCAGGGTATGTGATGCTGTTGATGTCTACGTCGTCGTCATCGCCGAAAGAGGGCATCCAACCAGTAACGAGACCCTCTGAGAGCGACATCGGTGGTCGTTAGGAGTAATAAATAGACGATATAGATGGTGGCGGAGAGCCGGTGCAGTAGTTAAAAGCGCCACGCCGAAAGTATGATGGAGGGAAGTGGGGAGGGGCGTTGGAAAGGCCATGACAGGGTGGGTTATATAGATGTTGACATTGGGCAACGAAGCATTTCCGTCCGCACAGTAAACTTAGGGACTAACCCATTGTGTTCGGTCACCTCAGATCAAGATCCGGTTACACGCTAGGTCGGCTTTCGGTAGTCCGTTCGATCACTCCTAAGTTGGTGATCTGACCCAATGCCCCATGACGCTGCGGCGTGAGGTGAGCAGGCGAACAGGGCGGCGCAGAAGGAAAGCGACCGTAATTTGGTGTCCATTTCTACTCAGAGTTCTGTACTGGGAAGCATGTGTGATGGTCGTGCGGTTACGTGCAATCGATGCTTCGACGCCCAACTTGGGCAAAAGTCTCCCTGAGAATGGCTCAATTCTTCTGACTCGGTTCAATCCGTACGGGAAGTGCATCACCTCGACATCCCCGCCTCAACCCCACAGAAGGTCGACTCCGCGGGCACGGTTTCCTTGTAAGTCGTAATGCGCACCCAACTGGTGGCTGGTCTAGAACCCGACGCCTTCCGTCCAGTCTGCCGCCGGTTCGTCGGGTCGCTTTCTACACTTTCGGCACTCGAGCCTCGAGGCCACTGTCTACTCGCTTCTTAACATAAGCGCCTGCGTACAACCAGATCGGCCTGGTTACCCTCGCTCACTCGACATACAATCCGCGGCAGCCTGCCACACGAGTGCCAAAAGTAGACGAGGGTGGACTGACCGCTTTCGTGGACTGTTCCGCCATCATGATGTGACATGGGAATTCCAGAAATATGTCAATTAATAATTTTATGCTAGTCCCCAAACTGCCAGTTGAAGACACCGTTCCTCCCCAAATCCGCGAATGGTACCGCAACACGGGAGGAAATGGAACCACTCCATCTGCCCAATCAACTTCTACCCTCGAGATAGCAACGACAATTATCGCATCTAGGCAAGGATATCATGCATACGAAGTATCATGCTGACGTCGACTTACTAGTGTTGGAGAAGTAAACTTGGGCAAACCGACCACTTCTGGTACTCCAGGCACACCGGTGCATGTTCCACCCGGCCTGAAATCAATATCATATCTCCGAATCTCCGCATCGCTGAATCTGAACTCAGCTGGTCGACTTTCATATTCCGCGCGGGAGTCTGGACTGTCTGGGTCTGGAACTCAGCGGAAGTACGAAAATACAACCTCCGAGTCAAAGCCCCTACACCTTCGCCTGTATACAGGCTAGCATGCCGCCCAGTTGGGGTAACGGGCGACACCCTAACTCGATTGCTGATACGTTCCCTAACTCTCTAGTACGCCAAGCTAGCTCGTGAGCATCGTGAGCGGCTCACCCTTAACTTAACCACCCTGCCGGATACGGGACGGATATTCATGGCTATCTCAGGCTCATCCAGCAGTTGTGGCGGCGTTCACGGGAGGGGCTTGCGGAGATGACAATTGGAACGATGTTAGCGGAGTCGCGGGCTCCTGTGTACCAGTTTAGGTTGCCTGTACTGTACTCGATTGGTACCCGATTGGACAAAAGAAAGGCAATTGGACAAAAGAGGATTGATAATATCACGACTCGGACTCCCAAGGCACAAATCACGAGCGTCGATGACAATTAAAGCAGGGCAAGTATCCGAATGACGCATGATCACATTAAGGCCTGATTGGCCCTGTGCTGATGTGTTAACGTCAACAGCAGTGTTACGTCTTTGAGGTACGGTATGGAGGCCAATCCTTGTAGCTCAGCTCGTCATGAATTAACTGGACAACTGTAGGGAGCGGGTTCAATGT